GAACTCCTGCTGGCAACAGACTCTGAGGGCGAGGTCCATCAGCCCCCAAAGAAGCGCAGGTATGTTGCCAACAGAGCAGGATCGCGACAGCTCAAGTTCTTGGGCAAAGAAGTTTGCCAGGCAGCACACAAAAGGCTATATGGCATAGGTTCAGGTGCTCTTCAGAAGCTTCGGCAAGGTGAGCGGCCCTTCACCATGCATCAGGGACGCCTTGAGGAACCCAAACACCCTACTGTGTCAACTTCACTTGTGCGTTCTTCCTTGCAGAGAAAGTGGCCCAGTGTACTTTCATTCTTTTGGATGTTGTACATTAGCTGTGCGGAGGTATTGCCCACAAATTTCATCATGCCAACCACTCTGGTGGGCCATCTGGCAGAAACGGTGGTCAAGTCCGACCCTGACTTTCAAGAACGGTATGTCAGTGCATTCATGAGAACTCTTGAAAGTAACTATGCCACAGACGCATGTCTCAGCATAATGATGCCTTTTACCTTTATTGATTTGTTTGCTAGTTATTTGGTTGTCCAGTACGTAGTATTTTGGTATTTCGGGTTTTGTGCATTGTTGAGGCACAACCTGGAAGTGGACCGGGCACATTCTCTGGTCCAACGAGGTGGCTAGAGTGGATGCGTCCCATTGATGTCTTCATGTAGTATCAAAGTTATGCTGAAGCCATAGGCGAACCCGTGGCCAGTTTCTCTACGTTCCGTAAGATTATGACTCGCATTTTGGCAAACATTTGAAATTCCGAGACAAGGGCTCCTTTTCACAGTGCACGGTATGCTTCAATCTGCGAAACAGAATCAAAAAATCAAAGACCCGGTCAGACAGGATGCTTCAAACAAGATTGTACAGCAAGCACTTACTGGCCCAATGGCTGGATCGCGTCTTCCACTGGCAGCAAAGGACATTGTCAAGGCAGTGGTTTAGCCAAATGCTGTGGGTTTCTGCCAAGCTCAGTGCAGATCTGTCCAATTCCCAACTTTGCTTGATCCAAGACGGAATGGACCAGGCAAAGGTCCGTCTTCCACGCTGGGGTTACGGACGGATTTCAAAGTCTTGTGAGAATCTGTACCGCCCCGCAATGCATTTGGTGGCCAATTGGGCCCATGGCTGGCGGCTGACGATTCACCTTAGCTGTGAGGACATGAAGAAAGACAGTGTGACCAGCATCGAGGTGCTTTGCAAATCGCTTTGCGGCATTCTTGATGGGTGCGGTTCAATGCCACTAGGCATATACCTACAACATGACAATACATACAGGGAAGCCAAAAACAGGTACATGTTGAATTTTTTTATTGATGCTGCAGCTCCTTGGTGCGGCAAGGGTCGTGGCCTTGGGATTCCTCAGGGTATCCCATTCCCATGAGGATGTTGATCAAGCATTTGGCCAGATTGCCAGACTGCTGGCTGGTAAGACTCTGATGTCTGATCAGGAGATGCTGACTGTATTGAACGATTGTTTCATGTCTGCTGCTGACCCTGGAGAGACTTCAGGCCGCCTGAGGGGTGCAAATGCAGACGCTGTGAAACTAGACCAAGCAGCTTTATGGAAGAACTTTGTGGGCCAAACCGGCCTGAGCTTCAAGGGGTTGCGCCATGTGCACTTTTTCAAGTTTACTCTTCGCAAAGATCTGGGTACCAGTGTTCTCGATAACATTCTGAATCTGGAAGAGTATGGCCGAGGGCATGTTCCTCATGAAAATGATGTCTTTTTGGTGACAAAACGCTGGCTGGCAGATTCTGAAGTGCTTCGGGCCACAGTGGTTGTGCCCGCATCTGTTGCGAGCCAAATTCGGACCGGCTTCCATCCACCAGCAGGAATTGCAGAAAGAAGAGCTATCGCAGAGAATGTGCGCAAAAACCTTGCCAAAAGAGTTCCGATTTTGAAGCGCAGTGGTGAATTGACAGCTTCAGGCACTGAATATTTGACACGATGGAGTACTGCTACTTTGAATCATGAGCAAAGGCCGCAGACCTATTCCGTTCTCAATTACAGATATCTACCGGACATGAGACGGGAGGTCCATCGGCCTGGTACATGGCGAATACCTCATCGGGTGAGGCACTTTGATTTGTGTATACAAGGCGAGGCTGATGCAGGTGATGACAGTTCGGATTCGGATGGTCCAGTTGATTTGCCCATTGGATTTGAGATGTAAGATTTAAATTCAGACTTTGCTGCCCAAAGCGCAAAATGAATTGCTCCTGCTGAGACGGTAGTCCGCTGTGGTTTTTGTAACTTGAAGTTTCAGGGATCAGTTGTTTCACATGCCCAGGAGGAAAGTTGATGAGGACGTCGTCCAGGAGATCCTCTTTGCATCGGAAGATGAAGGTGAAGGAGACCTTGGGGGAAGCGGGGATCAATGATGAACCAGAGTACTGGGAACAAATGAAGTATTTCAGTGTACCGGGAACGAAGGAAGTAGTTCAGTTGTTTGCAGTAGCTGTAGGTGTTCACTAGCGGGTCTGTTTTCATGTTGCTTGGTCGGCAAAACAAAAGTGACGGTGTTGTTTATTTTGCAGTTTTGACTCTCCAGGGGGATGCCGTGGTGAGCAGTGCTCTGACACCAATGAACTCCTGCTGGAATCAGATGTAGAAGAAGCAGTCGCAGCCCCAAACGCACAGCAAAGTCAGCCGGATGAGAAATTGTCTGCCCTGGTTGTCCCGCCAAGCGTTACCTGACAGATCGGTCGGTTTTCAATTGTCGTTCTTCTCAGGGTTTTGGAAGACAGGCCTCAGGGTTTTGGAAGACAACGTTTTAGATATATAGGACCCAAACTCACAGGTGCTGGTGGAGTTTTTTGGGGTATCGTGCATGTAACTCCTCACCTGCCCAGGTTGGAGCTTTCGTGGAGGACTTTGTGCACAATCAGGTCTTTGCAGATCTCCGAGATCTTTTGGCCAAGAACCTGGGGCATGTGAACTCGACCCTCCGGGTTGGCAGCCTTTTCTCTGGGTGGGGAGTTCTGGAGATGGTGTGCCAGGATTTGCAGAAATGCTGGAATTCGGTCCAGCCCAGTGGTTCTTCATTGGAGGCGCAATTCATCCTGGATTTAAGGAACCCCTCGGACTTTTTTATGTTCGGTTATCTTCTCATGGAGTCGGAGATTATTCTACATATTTCATAGTTTACTTCATTCAATTTGTTGGGTTGAAAATAGCGGCTCTTAACCTGACCCTTTACCCTCTTCAACAACCTGTCACCGTACTGATCGCCAGCGTGTTATGATGCATACTGAGTTTTAGGGGTGTCGGTGGGTAGGAGTATGCGCCTTATCAAGAGTTTTGGAACAACCATAAGGCTCAGTCAGGTACTACTAGAAATGAATAAAACCAACTATTATAAAAATGATGTGTGGTGGTAGTAGTGATGAAAGCAGCAGCAGCAGCAGCAGCAGCAGCAACTGACCAATTGTTTTTCTTCCAGGGATGCAAACTCACAAACTGCTTAAAAATGATCATTTAATATAATATAATATATTATATATATTGGATTGGGGAACCACCAAGAACGATATCACAGACAATCTATAATCGTGATTTGTGCAATCCTTTGCGAAGGACATTGTTTTTTGATGGCGGGTTCCAAGAAACTAGGAGTGTCAGGGTATGTCTCGCTCTGCAGGTTCAATTGAAGTTCATGGCCGAGCTTTGTCCCAGGAAGCAGAAGTACCTGTCCTCCAGATTTCCTCATGCGCACCTTTTTTTGTGACGTGTCCGACATGGGCAAGAAGTTTGCCAGAACTGCAAACGGATGTTCTGAAGCTGTTCCTAAGGTTTGGATTGGGAGTCGGAGGTTCAAGAAAGTGGATGGTAATTGAATTTGTCTAAAGAATTGTTTGGGAACCTAGACAGCCCATTGACAACTTTTTGACCATCCCTGCCAGGTCGATTTGCTGGTTGGTGGCTTTCCATGTGTCTCCCTTTCAATGTTGACAACGACTCCCGGAAGTGTGCTGGATCCAGACTGCAGCAGTGGCAAAGGCTATCTCGGATTGGAAAAGTACGTGAGGTTGCACCGACCGAGACTTGTGCTGATGGAGAACGTCGCCTCACTATTTTCAAAGCGGGAGGTATCAGGTGGCATTTCTGCGTGTCTTGCTGGTGAAATAGAAACAGGCTTATTGAGTTAAGTTTATTGGTTGACAGCTTACTTTGGTGAGTTGAGACTGACATCATTTTAATTCTGAATGAGCAAAAAAATCACTGCCACAAAAACACAATAAGCACTTAATACAATAAATAGTAATAGTCAGTTTAGGATGACAAACTACTGCTGAATCATCATTGTGTTTATGTTTGAAACGTTCTCAGGTTTGACCTCATAGAGAAGCGGTTCTCAAGTCTGGGGTATCTTGTTTCTGGGGCGATCTACAACGCGGCAGACTTCGGGGTCCCGCAGCAGAGGCGCCGTGCATGGCTGCTGTGTGTCTTGAAGTCAGAGATTGCCTGTGACGCTGCCAAGCTGGAAGCTGATGTGAACCGATTCCAGCGGAAGAATGTCCCACTCTCTAGCTGTCTGAATCTCAAAGATTGGCCAAGTGTCAATTCCATGAAGGGCAAGGGTGGTAAGGGTGGCAACAAGTGGGAGGACAGCTTTGCAGAACAGTGCAAGATCTTTGGGAAGGAGACACACGACATGTTTTTGGATTGCGTGTATTTTCTTGAATTGGAGTGAAAGAGTGATTAATGAGTCTAGTAGAAAGCCATTCGGACCTATCTTGAGAATCAGCCTCTAAAGGCAGTAATGATGGCAATTCAGTCTGCACTGTTCCAATTAATTCCATTTTGCAAAATACATATGAACCGTGAACAGGAGAAACTTCACCACCGCATGTGTGAGCTGCAGTTTTCCGCTATCTCATGCACCACACGGGAACGCGCCATCTTGGCAGTGGCCGTGGAGGAATTGTCTCAGCGCTACAACTTTGATGCCATGAAGGACTTGATTGTTTTGCAGGTTGCTACCTGGATAATACAAGACTTCAGGTTGTGCTTTTTTAGTGATTTATTTTGCTTTATGCAAAGGATGAATCGAGTTTTTTGTTTTTTCGGTAGGCTGTTGAATTGAACGAGTGTAAAAGTCAGCTGAGCAGATTTTGCTCAACCGGCTCAACCCACCAAATGTGTAAGTGCTGTGTTGGAGTGCTGACTCTAAGGACCAAAACTTTCAGAGGCAGAATTACCCGAAGTCGGATTTGGCAACGAGCTCTTGCATCATCCCTGGCGGAAAGTATGTTGCGTCAGGGCCTGGTCGTTTTCGACTTGTGACTCCACAGGACACAAACGGGGTCGGATCTGTCTTGTGAAGAAAATGAATGAATTCGTTTGTGAATAGCAGCATTGATACCAAAAACATGTTCTGGTTTCAACCCATTAGGTCCGACATGAGTTGAAATAATAGCTAGCAACAATTGGTTGCTAAACTTGCAGGAGCTCGCTAGCCTGCAAGGAGTTGGTCAAGCAGAATGGCATCGATTTCAGATGGGAGATGTGTCAGATTCTCTGATGCGTGACCTTATCGGCAATGCGTCACTTTGTCAAGTCCAATTAAAGGGATTTATTTGATTTGTGTGCTTCTTATTTTGGGTAAGTCATTGACTCAGAAAGCTGTGATACCACACACTTGTTGTCTTCTGATGGAGTTGGGCTCAGGTTCAATGTGCCAGTCCATCTGGCTGCATTGGTCAGTTTGCTTGCCAACTGGACGCCCGCTGCTCACTCTCCTTAGTTTGCTTCTTTTTGTAGAACACCGCATGTGATGCAACATGTCTGTGTGAAATTCATAATTTTTGCCACAGAAAACCACTGTGGCTGTGTTGATGTACCCTGTGGAGCGAATAGTGCAAATTGGAAGGCTGTTGACTTCGCAAGCAAGGGAACTGTGCAAGTTTGGTTTGCTTTACATTTGGTTTGGTTGCAAAGTAGGTCTGAGGAATAATACTGATGCTTACTATACAGAATACAATATGCTGTTGTGCGACCTCAGCTTGTTGTTCAGGCGGGTCAGACAGGTTTTTCGGTAGGCTGTTTCCTGTCATGCCACCCAAAAAGCGTCAGCGAATCTCGGGTGGTTCCAATCAGAAGCAGCAAGTGCAACCTCTCAATGCTGCAGATGTTGCGCCGGCTCGTTTGCAGTTGAAAGACTGGATTGATCTAGTCTACCAGGGTCGCAACGGCTACGCAGAGACCAAGAAGTTCCCTCTCAACGATGGTGGCAGCTTTCTTGATTTGGTGCAGCGAGTATGGGCGGATGAAGATGCCCTTGTCGAAGAGTCTTGCGCCTTAGTCAAACGACTTGGCATTGTGGATTCTTCTAGCACGGACGATGACTTCATGATGAAATACTTGACTATGGAGGACAGGCTTATCAAAGAATTGGGCCAAGCCATCAAATAATAGTTATTAACTGTTCAGACCTTGTTGAAACGTGTTTTTAGACACAAAGTGTCTTGGGAACTTTTGCAGGAATTCCCTCCTTCGCCTTCTTGCTGGACAACCACATCGATTTTGCAATGGTCGTTTGCAGGCGAAAGTTTCTGGCGGGCCCCTGACATGGCAACTGTCTATAACATTGCCAAGTCAATCGCAATGAATGGATGGAGAGATGCCACTTGTTCCAAACAGATTGCCGGAATGTCAATTGGTCCAATCCAGCCACCATTACTTTTCCATTCTTTTTGAAGTCTGAGGGGCAACCAGTCATTTCTTTTTTGGGGAAGAGCCACAGGGTCCAGCCACTAAGAAAAAGCTTTGAACTGACTGGTCCGGGAATCCTGGGTGAAAAGTAAAGAAATTGAAGGTAAACTGTGGTCGTGGGTGTGATTGCTAGCCGCTTTCAGGCACCATAGGGGGGATTGAGAGTGGAGAGCTCTTCCGGGAAGAGCTCGCCGCCTCTTTAGTAATCTCAATAAAGGATAATAAAGGATTATTGGAAACCCTCAGACAGAAGTTCTGGATCCACTGGATGGGACTAGAATGTGGTATTAGATTTAGATTGGGGCCGGGGGGGGGGGTGGAGAGCTCTTCCTGGAAGAGCTCGCCGCTCTGGCATCACCAATAGGGAAGTTAAAGCGGAGATCAATTTCAATTGCGGCGATGTTTTTTTTGGGGGGGGGTGGAGAGCTCTTCCAGGAAGAGCTCGCCGCCTCACCCCAGAATCAGGGGAGGAAATTGCTCGCCGCCCACTCCAACGTCCCAGCTCGCCGCCCCCCGTCCCTGCCCCAAATGGGAATTGCTCGCCGCCCTGGAACCTGAGTCATTAATTTTCCAGATCTGGATGATAAGTTCTCCGGTTAAACCATTTGAGAAATGGATGGCTGAACAATAATTTGTAGATACGGGAAAAGCGGTGTCTTAGTTACAGCCCATTACAGCCCGCTTTGGCCAGGGTGAATCCCTTGGGATGCGATTGCTTGATGAGAACTGGCTGAAGAGACAACCTATCACCTGGGGCAGCTGCGCTTTGACTCGGGTGGCATGAAGGCTTTGGCGGCAGCTGTCTGCTGGGTTGGGTTGCTTCACATGGTTGGGACTCTGAAAGATGACGAGGCTACTCATCCATCAGTTGTGCAGCTCGCCCGGAGTTTGCTGGGCTTGCCAGCCTTTTACAAACCGCAAACAGGAGACCGAGCATCTGGGATGATCCGGCGCATCATTCGCCAGCACGTTGATGCCAAGAAGCTGGCTGTGAGCAGCTATGAGTGGTCAAGAATTTTGGCATCCATGATCAAGGACGGAGAGCAAATGACCGTCTCCCAGGCTGTAGAGTTGTACAACAGCAATCCCGAGGTGGTGGCACATGGCGGAGCGTCCTCCAAGGACTGCCATCAAACCAGATGTTTTAAAGTCGCAGGACTCAGTGCGGGACTCACTAACTGATGATATAGATACTGATGATATAGATTTATATTATATAGTACAAAAGCCGGATTTGTAGATATACATAGACTCACTTTGCAGGACAGGAGCGGCACAGGCTCTTTGATCTTGGATTCCAAGAAACAGTATGCGATCAAACACTGGCTTGAGTTGAGTTCAGAAGAAGCAATCCGTCAGGTGGAATTGAGTCTTAAGGACGCCCCATTCCAATTTGGACCATGGGGCGAATCATTGTCAGTCCAGCGATTCCTGTTCATGAACTCGACAGTCACCCTGAGTCCGCTGCCTGATGCAGGCGGCCTTGAGACGGTCAGCGGAGAGCCAACAATTTCAATAGATTGGTCCTTACCTATGACGGGGGAGGCTCAAGGTGCCCTTTTTGCCAGGATCCGGATCCAGTATGAACGTGCCACAGCAATTGTGGACAACGTTCAAGACCGCAAGCGCTACCGGCAAAATGAGGAGGAACTCATGGAACTGCGGAACATGATATGCTTCTGGTTCACAATCCGCTCATTTTGCAGCACCAGAATCAGCACCTTCGCAGAGTTGGATGCTGCCATTTGCAATGGCAACACCAAAGACCACGAATTTCGAGAGTTGTTGGAGTCGAGACCAAGTCAACTCGGGGTCTCCATGCTTCCCTGTGCCCGGAAGGAGGCTGTGGATCAGGTTCGGGAGCAGGAGGCGGGTGCGAGCATGGAAGTAGAGAAAGAACGCCTTGCTGTCAGGGATGCTCGGTGGAGCTTTTTCCAGAGTGCACTCCTTCGAGATCAAGCGAAGCTTCAACAGGTCCAATCTGCGCCAGAGCGCTTGGAGGCACTGAAGCACCGCAAGCTCATGTCTTGGAGGATTTCCCAAGCTCAAGCAGGAGAACGTGTCATCAAGGCTTACAAAGACAAATTTCTTCGATGCGATTTAGTTGCCAAAGCTGAGCTGGCACAGCAAAGAATAAATGAGTTCCGCCTCTTCGTCGTTTCCTTGCAGATTTAGCATCTGAACCCCTCTTTTTACTTTTTAAGGGCGATGATATTATATGTTGAGAGTTGTCTACTTTTGGTAGGACATCCATCGACCTACTGATTTCACAATTATTTGCTGTTTGGCATTCTGTAAGGCTCAGAGTGGCAGCTTCAAGGAGTCTGAGATTCACTGCATCGTTGTTTGTGACTTGAACGTGCCCGGAGCAAAATCGACAGAATCTATGCAGGAACTCTGCCAGACCATGCAGTTTTGCAACGACTTGGCACCAACTCGTTCAGTGGCCTTGGTGGAGCTCCCGGAGGTTGCAAAGAAGAGTTCGAAGCGGGGTTTGTGTGATGAAGAGAGTGACCTTCAGAGTTGCCTTTGGAGCCTTCGCCAGAGCTGCGATGCCAGGTGGGTGTGCACATTCGATGTGCATCCGGCTGCAGATGCACAAACAAACCGCAGGCAGGTAATTGAAGGGTTGAAGGGTGATGAAGAGTGTTCAGTTCCAACATGTTCCAACCTTTCTGGCGGTACTGCACTGGCATGCTGGTTGTCATTGTGTTTTTTTCAATCAGAGGCACCAGTCAGTTCCAATTAACTTTCTTGACACTTTTTGCCAAAGGCGGTTCAACACTGGACGCCTGGTATCCAACTTGGACGGTACGAGTGAGAACGTGTTCATCACAGCCTCTGAACTGGGCTGCTGCGGACGCCCGCTCATGACCAATCCCTTGCTGCTCCCATTGAGCAAAGACCTCATGATTCCTGAGAACCTTGATGTGGAAACTGACCTGAAGGGAGCGGAGAGGCAAAGGCCATCTCCAGAGACCTGCCAAGCGCAAAAGGGAGTTGACCGCTGGGTCGCTCTCTTGACATCTCTCCTGACGACAAGCTCAAATGTCTTGAAGGGAAAACCTGTCATCGTGTTGTGCCTCACGGGGTACATCGAAGATGTGGGGACAGCGGCTTCTTGGCTTTGCATAGATTTGAGTGGAAGTAAAGGGTAGACTCCGGGCCGGAACAAGTTAAGTCCAGAGATTCAAAGACCTGTTGTTTGACATTTAATGCACTAATTTCTCGCCTGTTGCCTCTCGCTGCCGCCAAGTTTGCAAAGTTTAAGTTATTAGTTGGTTACTTTGTCATCCATAGCAACATGGATGCGGACGTCCTGATGCTGTGTGGTCCTGAACATTTTTTTTCAGCGCGCGAGGGGCATCATTTTGCCTTGGCGTGACGATGATGATGATGATCGGCATCATCAGTCCAGGGGCCTCCTCCGAGGTTCTGGTGAGAAAATCGGAACTTCTGCAGATTCTCCAGCCATTTGGGAACGGTCACCACATGATCCCTTACCCGAAGGTTGGATGACTATTCCACAGCAATATGGAATTACTATTTGCGTCAAAGAACCATCTTTGACTGTTGGCAAGATTCTCCGGCACTGCCAGGACTGTGACTGACTCTAAACTTTGTCGTATGTCAATGAGTTTATGGGGAGTGAATCAGTCAGTCAGTCCTCCATAGTAGTTGATTCCGGTCAAACAAACAGAAGTAAGACTGCCCGCAGGAACAAATCCAGCGATTACGAGACAGACATGGCGGTGATCAGCTTGCTGTGTTCAAGATCGGAATATCACAGTGCTTGGAAGTTCGGGTCCGGTATTACTAATATTACTATGAGAACAACTTTACAGAGATGTCTTGCATTCATGCAAGCAATTCGCTTGCACAAATTGAAGCACTTGAAGCCTGTCTCATTCACCATTATGTTGACAAATCACCAGGCCAGTGTCGCAATGTTTTGTTGGGAGGGGAAGGCATGAGAAAAAAGAGCGGGCTGCCAAAAGCCCCTCCTCCTTATTTTCTCTATGCTGTTGCAGCCGATGCTTCACAAATGAAAAGAATTGGCTGCTAATTAACTTAATTCGACCAGTGACTAGTAGGCAGACGCGTGATCTCATTGCATCACAAGTTCGGCTCAGCGATAGATTCGGATGTCCAGAGCTTGAGGGAATAAGACTAGTCGCCCGCCGTCCACCCTGCGTTCGAATCAACTGTTTGGGAACAGGGGAGAAGGTCTCACATTGTTTGTCGTGATTGTACTGTACTGTCCGACTGCAATTCAATGTTTTGGAACCACCACGGCTCCCAATCCAAGGTTTTCCAGATGAGACTCAGCAAGACGGAATTGAAGGGCGGGTTCCATACCGACAACTTGTTTTATCAATCTGTTGGATGGATCAACAGCAAGGACACCTTCGGGCATTCCCGGCTGACTCGCGAGATCACCGATGCCTACATCCAGCGCAAGTTCGAGCACGGTGGCCAAAGGTACTCCGTGGATGCTCCCGAACTCACTGAGCAGGAAATCAATATCATCCCCGGTGCCAAGGCTTCGATGGGCAGCCTGGATGAGGTGAAATTTGAGGTTCTCGAGTGCTCCGGGGACAAAATGCACATCAAAGCAGATGAACATCGGCAACTCCGATCTATTTCAGAAGTCAGTCTTCAACTTCATGTGTGAACTGTGAGGTAGTGTATATTATACTGTGGGCATATTTTGTTGGACAATGATGACTGACAGATTCAGAATGATTCAGAGGTTCTTTACTTCCTATTATGTTTTTGTGATTTCTGAGATTGATATGATGGTTGTTGCAAATAAAGTTCCAAGGTTTTGGTCGGCTCAAACTGGGGAGCTCAAGACTACATATGATACTTTGAGGGAGAAGCACCTTGCACTCCTTGCGGCCACAACTACGACTACGACTACGAGCTCGGGTACTGAGAGGGCAACAAGTAGTGCTGGGGCATCCACTGCCGAGAACTCCACAGATCAGGATCAAGAGCCACCTGCTTCTGATTCAAACACTGTTCTGGACTCATTGTCGAAGCTTGAGCAGGAGATTGGTGTCCAGTACAAGTGCAACAGCGAGATCGGACAGGTGGAGTTGATTGTGGGGAAAGATGGCAGCATTTGGCTTTTGGGTGGAGTTGACAAGTCGCTTCCTCGGCATACTGTCGTGGGCGGTTATGGAACCGGCCAATGGGTCAGTGAAGAAGAGAGTGATCCAGGGGTTCGCTTCGTGATCACGGACGACAAGGCATGGATCCAGCTAGATGAAAGTTCTTTTGCTGCTGAAGCGCAAGGCTCCTCCACTGTGACCCTCTACAAGTTGCTCATCCGGGCAGAACGTGAAAAGGGCTTGACAGAACATCGGTTCAGCTTCCTCGACATTTCTCGCAAGCAAGACCTCGAGGCTGGACAGGATGGGTTCAACATCAAGGTCAAGACTGCAATGAAGTTCAAATGTGTTCGGGACCCGAGAACGGCAAGTGGATCAGAGGAAAAGATTACCGCGAAGAATGTCTTCTCAAAATGCTTGGAGAGGAACAGCGACCTGCTCATGGACATCTACAGATTCCGGTATGAGAGGGTCGGGCAAAGCTTCAAGGTTCAACGGCCTTATGTTTGTACCACCCAGCACCTGACCTTGAGCAAGGACAAGCCCCTTAAAGTGACCAAATAGATGCTGGTCTGGTCTGGTGCAGTCTGGCTAATTGACAACCACATAATAGGACATTTTCACTGCCCAGTTGGTTTAAGTTAGCAAAGGACCAGATATTATGTTTTGTTATGTTTTGTTGCTTTCTCTTCCATGCCAGATTGCAATGCTTCTTTGTTTGCCTTTGGTTGCTGTCGACAGCTTTTTGATGATCAATCAGTCGACTTCAGTATTAAACACTTTAGAATCAGAATCTGGTTCGCACGTTGGCAGCCCAATTTTGAGAGAGACGAATGGACTTGGGTAGAAGGCCAGGGTAGCAGTTTCAGATGCAAAGCTCTACCGCTGGCTGAGTGCAATTGCCAGCCACTGCGATAGGAACTATCTGGATTAGAGGATTTTCCTGACTGCTGAAAGGGTGCAGTCGTGGTACAGTTTCAGAAGCTTCGCAAAGACCTGGCATGCGCGACAAAGGCCCTAAGTGCCGGACAAACGATGTTACCACATAACACCCGACCCATAATGATGGCATAAAATGATAATATATAATAAGCAGATTAAATTCATTCTTGAACTCATCTCAGACTCATTGATTCCTGGTTTGGCCGGTGTGGAAGACGACATGAAGCACGAGGTAAGGCCTGTCGGTCAACTGATTCGTATCGCCTAGGCCTCAAGCACAGCTTTTGACAAAGTTGCCAGCACCAGACCACCGTTCAAAGAAAAAAAGATAGCCATGGCTGTGACGTTTGTGGAAGTGAAGCAGTTTTGGGACAACCTGTTCTCCTTCATGGGTTTGGCGGAGATGGCTAGCAAAGCCTATATGGCACATGAAAACATCCGCGAGACCTTCATCAAATTGAGGAATGTTTGGGCAGACAATGAGCAGAATTTGAACGTGGCTTTGGAGATGATCCAAATCCTTTCAGCGATGTCACACATGACCTTCACTGCCCAAATGAGTGGAGAGGATCAGATCTCGACTTTGACGTGTTGGTTCGAGAAAGGAGAATGTACTACCACTGTGCATCCGATAGCAATGACCAGCATCCGATGCAAGATTGCCTGCTGGACAAACACTGTAAGCAAAAGACAGATGCTTGAAGGTGAGCTCGCGGCAGCCCTCGATGAGTTGACGAGTCTTGAAGACTTGGCTTCGGGTGCAAAATGCACAAAACTCCAGCAAACCTTTCAAGCAGCACATGCTTTGCTGGAGGATGTGTTTTGGGTCTTACGCTCCATGCCTGTATAGGGCCACAAGGGCCTTGCAAGTTTTGTTGATTTGCGCAATGATCAAAACGGACAGCGACAATGATGACTGTCCAACTCAATCTGAGTCTGATGCTGTTGTCATTTCTTTTGGCATCTTTTCGCCTTGGATGCTGTTTGACTGTCAAATCTTGTGAAGTAGTCATTGATTGTCAAAAGGCATTGAATTGGCAATGTTTGGCCTCCCAAATTGGGAGCAAATTGAATTTCAACATGATGAGTTGTCCGCAGATTGTTTTTGTTCATTATATAATAGTTAGTTCCCAAACCTTTAGCACTTTTGCAAATGGCGACGGTGAACATTGCGGCACTCATATACGACAGTTTTGAGAGGACTGGTGGAGGTCCAACACCTTCCAATAGAGCTGCTTCTGCTGGCGACACACATTATTCAAACCCTCTTCGGTCACCAGCAAAAACACCAACCGGTCAGAAAGGGCGTCCAGGTGATCTCATGGTTGCAACTCCATCACGTACACCTTCCCAAAAGCAATCTTCTGGGCTAAGGGGCAGAGGCCGTGGGCGGAGCAAAGGGCGTGGGCGCGGGCGTGGACGTGGCAGGGGAAAAGGTGGCCACTGGACCCAGTTGAATAATGAGTTCTGTTTTCCACCAGCATGGGGTATTTTAGATGTTTTAGGTCTTCAGGCTCTTACTGCGACTGTTTCAACTGGGTTCTGTTCAGTTAGGTGACTCCAAACCGTCAGCGATCACGGAGAGGAAGTCGGTTCCTTTGAAGCGGCCTTCAGCGAGAAGGATTGCTTTGAAACGACCGTCCAGTCAAAGCAGTCCAACACGTGAAGTGAAGATTCCCAAACCTGAGGTGAAAGAGTCTGATGGGGGGGGTGAAGAGATGGAGGAAGAGATGGAGGAAGAGATGGAGGAAGAGGTCCCAGAAGAAACAGTGGAGGAAGAGGACCCTTCACCTGCTGCCAAGAAAAAGCCGGCAGCCAACTTGCCAATTGCCCCCTCCGACAAGAGGGATACCAGCACCAAGGAGAGTGGTGATGGTGGCAAGCGTGGCAAGATTGTGTCAGGGGAGTTGAAAAAAATGGATGGAAGTTGGTTCAGATCGAGACTCCTTCGAAGCGGCGGTACTGGAAGTGGATCCGATCTGATGGAAAGTATTGGTTTTCCCATGTAAAGGCTGTAGAGAATGGCTACAAGGGATGATAGCCAGTTGACCTACCAATGAAGCATTGGAAAAAAGGGAGGCTAGCTTTAGTCAAGCAGATGCACCAAACCGAAAGAACCAAAACCCGAAAGGACTAACTTTTCGTAAACTTCCTTTAGCCTATTCAATACCACCAGACATCACCAGCCACTATTTATTGTCAAACATTTCTCATTGTCATCAAAGGTACCTCCAAGGAAGCCTGGATTGCATGATTGAACATGGGGCCCTTTGCGGTGTTATACCTGATTTCAGACTACTGTAGGCATACGTTCTCGAAGCAAAAAATGATTCCTGCTGTCCTGTTCAACATAACATGCACGTTCATACTTACGAGACGCTTGCCAAAAACAATCCACAACAGCAGCCGCGCCAAGAACCACAACCGCGACAACAACAACAACAACAACTACTACTACTACTACTACTACTACTACTACGACTGCTGCTACTGCTACTGCTACTACAACAAATACAACTACTGCTACTGCTACTACTACTGACTACTACTACTACTACTACTTCTACTTCTACGACTACTACTACTACTACTACTACTAACTACTGCTACTACTACTACTACTAAGCTACTACTACTACTACTACTACTACTACTACTACTACTACTACTACT